GTATATGTATATGTATATGTATATGTATGTATGTATGTATGTATGCGGCTTTAACCTAAAAGTATTAGTTCCACCATATGGTACGGTACAAGATTTGAACAAGTTTGTCATATAGTTAAAGAAGTAAACAAAAATGGCATTTGCAAAACCCCCTGCTGATTGTGTTATTTCTTTTATATAAACTCATTCTCAAACTCTTGATGCAACGATTCCAAATATTAAAGACAAACATGTACAGACTTCTTAACTTTGTTAAAAAGTTAAGTGCAGCTATGTACTTCACTTACAGCTGTTGGTAAGAACTGCAGCTGAAGTTCTGGTTCCCCAGTTGGATCAGGAAACTTTGGCTGACATAGGGCAACAGAGGAGCCATCTTCACAGAGAACCACAGTTTGATATATGCAGGGTCACTGAGGTTACCCAGATTCAGGCTGTCCAGGACTCCAAATATATCCAGAATATTTGATCCAGATTCAGTGGGGCTCTAAGATTAAACAGAGTTTCAGTTTGACACTGTCTAAAGCTATGATGTATTTTTGCCATGTGAATACAGCTTAAATGTTATTGAATGATCTTAAGAAGCATTAGTATTTAATTATTCTGGATGCATCGTTTAGCATTTATGAGAAATAATGACTATCAGATAAAACTACAGTAAATCCTGTGTACACATCTTTAATGCAGAGTTGATATTTGGTGAATATTACTTTAAATATTTCTACATTAAATGTTCCTCATGTCAAAGTGGATTAACCATGAGTTACAGCAATGTGTTTAATCATAAATAACACAGAAACGAAGAACTTAATTACTAGGTCTAAGAAGACTTTTAAAGATGACTCCATCATCCCCCTGAGGTTTTGTTCCACTCTGTTGAAAAACACCTCTGACAGGCTTGCATTGTTGCTTCTTCTATAAGATAGCTCCCCTAGAAAAGTATCCACAGCTACAGATACCTGGGGATAAAGTAAACAGCAGCACTGGAAATGTTAATGTCTTCAAACAACACAAGAGGGCGTCAGTCAGCAACTGCTTTATGCCAACTTTGAAACATTGCACAAATTTTTGTGCTGAGGATGAATTTTTGATCAGTTTGATATGATTTCTGAAACACTCACACAGTGACTGGTGTCTTGCAGATTTACTCCTCGACTTGACTCCTGGAAACCGTTGCTTAGAATGGAAGCAGTACTTTAACAAAATTAAATAAAAAGAAATACTTGATCTACAAATTCTGACAACAAAAAACAATTCCTTCTAATCAGTAATGTGTTAAGTCAAAGTATGGAAAAAAAATGTAAGGAAAAATTGGATACTAACCTGTTCTCAAGTGTCATCAAACCTAAAGCTGCAACAGAATTATAAGAAAAGAAAATAATTATATTTAGTTCAAATCTAAATTTCTTTTTCTGTCTAATAGAATTGCTACCATCTTTTTTAAAGACATGATTTTTCTTACCTTTTGTTGTGTTGGACTGAAAAAAAAAGAAAATATGGATTTCACTATGTTTGTAAAATATCTATAATGTATAAATATTGAAATAAACTTACGAGTGCAGAGGTCGGTGAAATCATAAATACTGAGGAAATGAAAAAAATTATTTAAATTTTACATTAACTTTTTTCCTATGTAAATTAATTAAATCAAAACTTAAGCATTTACATTTTATTTTAACTTTTAAAGACACTCACCAATCTGTGCTGCCAAGAGAAGTAGAACCTGTAGAAAAGTTCTCTGGACACCCATTTTGAGAGTGCAGCGCTGCTCACTTTAGTATTCCTCAGTTTAATTAAACAACATTTTACAAGATGAATTGCCAGAAATGCTAGGGTTGTAGAAAAAAAGTATTTTAAGCATATGTTTTTATAATTTTTTGTGATAAGAAGTGCATGGTTCAATAAAATTAGGAATAAAAAAAACGTTGACCACAATTATTTTAAATACAGCTATTATTAGTATTTCTTTGGTGCAGCCATGTAAATTCTAATTTTTTGCATTTCCAGATCTAATGCATTTCGCTAAGTTGGTAATATTTTCATCAAGTGATATGCACAATCAGAGTATGATCATGCTAGCAACTGAAAGTTTGTGGAAGAGAAATATAAAATAAATAAATTCTTGCAGGTTAAGCTCACCTGTCTAACTCCTTTCCTCTGCCAGAGGAAAATGAGGAGCAACCATTAAAGGTGAAAGAGTTATGTGTTGGGAGGAGCAAACTAATTATCTGCCAGTTTTTTAGAAACTAAGCTGAAACAAAAGCGTTCACAGAGAACCTAACGTGTTCTGTAAGATTCCATTCAGATGAAATCATCTTATTTTTTTTTAATATTTTTTTTTGTCTTGTGTCTCTCAACTTCCTCTTCACAATATCCCACAGATTCTCTCTGGGGTTCAGGTCAGGAGAGTTGGCAGGCCAGTTGAGCACAGTAATACCATGGTCAGTAAACCATTTACCAGTGGTTTTGACACTCTGAGCAGGTGCTAGGTCGTGCTGAAAAACAAAATCTTCATCTCCATAAAGCTTTTCAGCAGATGGAAGCATGAAGTGCTCCAAAATCTGAAAGCTAGCTGCATTGACCCTGCCCTTGATGAAACACAGTGGACCAACACCAGCAGCTGACGTGGCACCCCAGACCATCACTGAATGTGGGTACTTGACACTGGACTTCAGGCATTTTGGCATTTCCTCCTCCCCAGTCTTTCTTCAGACTCTGGTGCCTTGATTTCCGAATGACATGCAAAATTTGCTTTCATCTGAAAAAAGTACTTTGGACCACTGAGCAACAGTCCAGTGCTGCTTCTCTGTAGCCCAGGTCAGGCGCTTCTGCTGCTGTTTCTGGTTCAAAAGTGTCTTGACCTGGGGAATGAGGCACCTGTAGCCCATTTCCTGCACACGCCTGTGCACGGTGGCTCTGGAAGTTTGTACTCCAGACTCAGTCCACTGCTTCTGCAGGTCCCCCAAGGTCTGGAATCGGCCCTTCTCCACAATCTTCCTCAGGGTCCGGTCACCTCCTCTCATTGTGCAGCATTTTCTGCCACACTTTTTCCTTCCCACAGACTTCCCACTGAGGTGCCTTGATACAGCACTCTGGGAACAGCCTGTTCATTCAGAAATGTCTTTCTGTTTCTTACCCTCTTGCTTGAGGGTGTTAATGATTACCTTCTGGACAGCAGTCAGGTCAGCAGTCTTACCCATGATTGTGGTTTTGAGTAATAAACCAGGCTGGGAGTTTTTAAAAGCCTCAGGAATCTTTTACAGGTGTTTAGAGTTAATTTGTTGATTCAAATGATTAGGTTAATAAGTCATTCAGAGAACCTTTTCATGATATGCTAATTTTTTGAGATAGGGACCCCTGGCCCCTCTCCACTTTTCTGCCAAAATCATCAATCTTCAAAACAACAAAAGGCCTGAACCACTTCAGTTGGTGTGCAACGAATCCAAAACACATGAAAGTTCAACGTCCATCAGCACACCACAGAAAACAATGAACTTCATCACAACATGCCAATCCCTTGAGAAGGACCCGTATTTGGCTAAGATCCACAACTTCACTTCAAGATGGCTGCCAAAACAACTGAACACAAATATGACCACAACTCAGTCTGTTTTACTATGGGCTAAAGTGCTAACAGACTGTGTGACATCTTTGGCATTAGCTGTTAGAGTCGACCCTGCATGTCTGTTAGCAAAATATTGCCTCACCCACTTGAGAGATTTTAATGAAACTCCAATAAAGTTGGCTTTTTTTCTTGTGGCTTCTCCTTTCTTCAGGGGTTGCCACAGCGAGTCAACTCGCACGAAAGATTTGGCATTTTTCTTTTGTCGGATGCC